TTATTAAAGGCTGCGGAGTACTTGTACCCCCAAACTTGTGTCGGACGATGCATGCCACCTGTTTCTTTCCGAGTTTATTGTTAGTCCAAAGCTATTACGTTCAGGGACTAAGAGGATAAAGCCTCCTGGCACATCATTATCAATCATGGTTTTTAGATTTCTATGACGGCATACATACGGAGGACGTTAAGTGACTCCGCGTCGGTCCAGTAGCAAATGTCGACCCCATGTCGCCCCAGACAATGTGCATCTATACAGATCGTGCAGAACGTGAAAGTGAAGAGCGTTGGAGCATACGATATCAGGCACTCATCAGACATGCCCACGGCTTGAATGCTATAGCGGAGTTGAGACTAATTTAACGCCGGGAATGCTGAGTTTGCCCGTTGTTTCCAGAACCAGTGCCTGGGACCCTCACTTGCCCCTTGACCTTCACTATTCTGAGGAGGCAACTCTGATGTAAATGGTTCATCTTTCTTAGCTGCCTTTCAGCTATCATAGGGTTCGTGTAAAGGAGGAAGCTGCGAGAATTTTCGACGCATCGCCTCGGTTCGTAAATGGTTCGATTGACTCTAGAGAGTTGTAGGTTAACAAATATGGTGTCCCCGCCTCAGTGGGCAGGCTCACCCGAATAAGAGGTCGTGAGCCTATGTTTCTGCTTCACGCATTGGATTCATAGTACTTGTTCGTCACTTCGGTAACTGGTGTTGATTTCAGTTTGTGCATCCCGAAGGCCGTTTATTAGTATAATGGAAAGTTAAGAAGGATGGAAGAAAGTCCAAACCCCCTTCACATCACTTACTGCAACAAATTTCCTGAGAACTGCCCACTGTCGGTGACGTTCGCAGTCATCCCGCAGAGCGGTTGTTTTACCAACCGCATAAACCGATCTGGACATTCGAGTTTCAGTATTATTTCTAGGTATCACCTTGGTTTACGATTTTAGGAGTCTTTGTAAGTTCAGTGACGGTGGCGCAGAGGCTGGCCGACATTTCTCAATTATTCTCCCGTCGTTTTCGATCTATGAAGGACATGCCGGTTGTTTCACGATGTTTACCGGAACGTACAGTGCGTCCCTGGGCATAGTTTGTGCGTCGAAGGGCGACAGTCGGCAACCCAAGGTTTCAAATATAGAAAGTCAGGGAGGGCTGGCCTACACACCACGCATAATTTACAAAACCGGTCTACTAAGACCGCCCGCATGCACATAAACTAGCAAAACGTCAGCTGCTTGGCACCCTGCACATTTCCAAAGGAAGTCATCAATAGTGTACTGTGCATGAGATATCAGCATGCTGCGTGGGCATAAATCAAGTCCAAATTTTAAAAATGTGAATTCTAATGAAACGAACGAGGACTCCTGCCGTAGGCAAAAAAGCCGACCAAATATTTGATAGGCTCGGACACTGCGAACTTGGTAACCAATTCGTCGGAAACTAGTGGAATGATCAACGAGGAAAAATATACTAGATGTGATGTGACAGCATCAGACACTTGGCTCAGTCACTTACACGATATGTCAGTAAAAGGCGTCCCAAAAGTAGTGCTCTTAACCCCAGAGCTAGAATAAATCACACATAAGCCTTCCTTTAAAAGTAAGCTAAGGTTTAAAGGAGGGGCAGTGAGTTGCATATAGTCCGGAAAGCATATAGGGTTGTGAAAGCACAGCAACCATGTAGTCTAGATTCCCGACCAATACTCTTAAAGACCATGCTAGTAATCAAAATGCATACGCAGCTCTTGCTGCAAGGAAAGAAACTCTTACGACTACGCATGCCGGAATTTTTTCAATAGAACTGTGAACCGAAAGAAACAATGAAAATATGATTTTGAAGAAAGAACTACGACAGCGAATGCGCAAGGTGGAATCAGGTCTCAAAACAAGGAGTGGACACATTCAGCATAATTCAGTATATATGAGGGATAGAGGCAGAGCCTTGGAAAACCCTATTTACAGATAGACGTATGAAAAAAAAAACATGCAAATATTTACATAGCAGTTATACCAGTCATTGATATCATGTAAATGTTTGACCATCAAGCATAAGTTTATCCAGTCTTCCTTTGAAAGTCTCAACGTTTTCCGCTAAGACAACGGAGTTTGGCAATTTGTTCCATCCTTCAACCAGCCGGTGAGAGAAGAATTTGGCCCGCAAATCGAGTCTGGCATGCTTCGTCTTCAATTTGTATAGGTGCCCTCGGAGATTTGTCGTCCGCGCCAGTTCGAAGAAGTCGTCAAACTGAAGAGCACAGTCTAGCCCTCGGACGATCCTGAAGGCCATGATCATGTCCCCTCTGTACTGTCTATAAGAGAGAGGAAATATTTTTAGCTTCTCCAGCCGTCTCTCATAAGGTAAGTCACATAACCCGTCGACTAGCCTGGTCGCTCTACGTTGTACGTTCTCCAGTAGGGTGTAATCTTTTTTCGTCCAGGGACACCATGCCTGGACACAGTATTCCAACGTTGGTCGAACGTATGCGCCAAATACTCGGCTGAAAAGTTCTTCATCAAAATTGACTAAAGATCTTCTAATCGCGCCAAGAATACCCATAGCTTTCTTTGATACCTTAGCGCAGTGAGACGATGGTTTGAGAGTTGACGTCATCCACACACCGAGGTCTCTTAACTCGTTGACTGATTCGAGTTGGTGACCTCCTATAAAGTACTGAGATTCAAATCTCAACGGCCTCCTGTTGCTCGACAGTTTTGACAACACAAAAATGAAAAATATCTGAGTTACTATGGGCACTAGTGCCCATTATCTACATATCAACTGAACAAATTCTTATGTCCACTTCAAGGGGCTTATAAGCTCTATTCAACAGCCTTTGACCAGAGCCCGCTCGTGACTGCGTTCATAGCAGCCTGGCTGACTGAAAAAACAAAGACCAGCAAAATTAATTTTGTAGAACACCAAATGCTCCGTTCTGGCATCTGCCGACAAAAAGACAAAGGCGCTAGCATTTATGTGTCTAACAATTGCCCCAATTGTTATTAGGAAAGATCCCATGAAATAGGACGGATTTGTGAAATTATTTCGTGCTTGATCAGGATCAGACGATTACTAACACTTTACTGTTTTGTCTTCTGTGGGCCTACAGCGCATATCAGCTATTTGATGGAGAATTACTGGCAAATTAAATAGACATGCCAGCATAAGAATCGGTTACTTGGGGGTGGTATTATGTTCTCCGAGCAGACCGCAAACTTCCACGCTCAGATGCCCCAACATCAGTCGATTAAGATCTACGACAGTTATGCTTGCACGAATGTCTCATCTGACATACAATTCTGCAACGAGGCCGAAAGGAGAACAGCGTCCCAATTTTATTGATTCCGTCTTCAGTAAAAATCAGTATGACGTGGTAAAAGTGAACTTGCGCCGCCGCTTGCGGTAAGTGCTCTCATTACAATCGCCTGTGTATGTACTATCTTGTTCTCAAGAGTGAGCAAATATTTGGAAGTGGGCTTTCGACGTAATGAGGTATGCTACCTCGGCGGGAACATGACTGGTTAATACAAACGTCGGTACGTGAAACTACCGTCCTAGATCTTTCAGTCGGTATTTACGGCGAAATGACCAGAAGATGACCGAAGATTTAAAGTGAAACAGGACACAACCGTCATTCAAACTATTGACTTATCCCCCAGACGTGTAAGGCAATCCTCACCCAAATTAGAACAGATAAGTCTGCCGAACCAGATAAAATGCCTGGACTGATGATAAAAGAAGCGCCCGCAGAGCTAGCAGGGCTTATTTCGCCTCCTCTTAGGCTGGTAATGCGAAGTGGTAGTTTGCTTTCAGAGTGGGGAACAGCCTACTTATTTTCCTAATTTGATGGGCATAGTTCGTTGGCTAGAAGGAATTTTAGATTATTAAGGCTACTTGGCTTTTCTATAAGACATCGGAAGTCCGTATGAGGCAAACCATAATAAACCTCGGTAGTAAAAGTACTATCTTGTAGAATCATCGACGCAATTTTCGATGAGGACGTTCCTGTTTCCCAAATATCCTGACCTTTTGGACGTCTAAACAAAGCTGCGAAAGAGGGCTTCAGAGTAAATATGATATATATTAATTTTCGCAAAGTCTTTGACATTGTCCCACGCAACGCCTACTTCACAAACTGGGCGAACGTGGTCTGAACTGAAGAAGGACGGCTCTGGTTGGTCAGAAACAGGGCACTCGTGTAGGAGACTATCGGCCGACCTGCGTGAACGTAACAACGAACATTCTACAGCATATTGATTTTCGTCGCACAAGCTAACGTTCTTAAATACAGTATAGCCGTTCATATTAAAGTTTACGACCACGAACGTCTTTGTGTCTGAGTTTGACACTGCGTCGTTTAACGTGGGAATGTTCACCAAAACACCGATTATTTTCTCGTAATCTCATCTAACTTGGTGCTGCGCTGCAGTCAGGATTTCGAATCTGTATCATCGAGGGAACACACAAACTAATTACACAGAGGCAGGTGCCAGTGTAGGCAATGCGTTGGACACTCTTACAGTGAGAGAAAACCATCACTGGTGTTCTTCCCCAAAAGAGTTCTGTGCCAGTAAAGAAACTTCGTCCTACAACCGAATCGAAAAGGCATACTCTTATACAAAATAAGCTTCATCTAACAAAAGGGGTGGTAGTCGTAGAAAGCATTCAGCAAAGGTCTTCTACAACGTAATATGACGGTTCGACCATCGATTTAGAAGATGCCCATCGTTTGCTGTCCATTAGGGTGAGAGCGTACACGGTGACTCGTTCAAATACGAATGTTTTTTTTTGCGGAGACCATATCCTTTTCTTGCTCTCATCACGTAGCCACCCTTCTATTCATTATTTGACCTGGACGTTATGCACACGCACTGATCATTAAAAGAGCTTATACAATAGTCTGGATGCCGCAAACCTCAGTAACCTTTAACACAACCTCAACTGAAAGTTTTGGCGCGGCCTTTGATTTTTACACGCGCCAAAGCACGTCTAACCGAAATCCTTGAGATGGGCTTTAGGGGTGGTCCGGGTGGCGACAATCGTGGGAAATTTCGGGGCGGGAGTGGAGGGTTTCGTGGTCGAGGGGGTTTCAGAGGTGGTCGTGGTGGCGGACATGAGAGGTTCGATCAGGGTCCCCCGGAGGAAGTTGTTGAAGTCGGCGAAATGATGCACACTTGCCAGGAAGACCTCGTTTGCTCTCTGACAAATGAGAAAATCCCCTATTTCAACGCGCCGCTGTATCTTGAAAACAAGGAACAAATAGGCAAAATTGATGAGATATTTGGACCGATAAAGAACTCCGTATGTTTCGTGATTCGAATTAATGTACTTGGTAGCTCTTTTCTGTTAAACTGTCGGACAACTTGAAGAGCAAATCTTTTAAAACAGGCCTAAAGGTTTGTATTTTTTCTGTAAATGATATTGTTTAGCTCTACATCGACCCTGCGAAACTACTTCCACTGGAGAGGTTTCTCCCGGGCGCCAGCCAACAAAGAGGTTTGTGCCTGTGTGCATCACCTGTTCGTGTATTTTTGCTTATTGAAAACATGGTATTGTGAAGAGTGATTAGCTGGTGACCGCAGTTAGCTCATAAGTTATGCCTGCCAGCGCGAATATAAACGAGAAGTGTTTTTCTTGGGTTAGCATTGACCGATAAGTGCAGTCTTCTCTTTTACTTTTCTTCCCTACGAATTTTGAACAATGTTGACAGTCTTATCCACAATCTCGGCGTCTTTACTAGTCCTAGGATTCCGGCACACACGCATTATATGCTTTTTTGTCAGTTGTTGCACAGCCCGAATCTTGAACACTTGCAACCCTTGATCGTCGTACTTCCCACCTCGGGGTTTCGGCTCCCCGGTCTGGTGTGAAATAATATGACGCCAGAAGGCTGGGACCTACCGATGGTAGGTGTCTATGCTTTGGTGTTGTTTCGAGACTGCCGTGTTCCGATTCTGGTTGCGGATTTCCGTTCACCTTTGGAGTCTCTTGACACGATAAGTTTCATCAGATGGATTGTTCTTTTCACATCTTACCATTTTATCCGAGACCTAAGAGTCGACAGACCGGTTTGCTATGTAACCACATGAACAGACGTCGCGAAGCGTGTTAACTAGCATAACTTTCGGGTTAGGGGCATATTTCTCATTTTACGAATCGTAGGCGTTAACTGTCATTTGAGTTGGAAAATCTTGATCAAAAAGATCGAGATTGACTAAATTTTAGCCGTTAGTACTCGCAGGACTGCCGAATAAGCCTAATTTTCAGACTAAAAAATTAGCGAGTAGCTGAAATGGGAATTCTTTCAAAACTCCACTTTTATAGCGCGACGTTTATCACGTTGACCCATAATGAATTCGCCCTAAAACTGTTTTTTTTTACCCGTGTGGTAATTTGCTCTCGTTTTTTTTATTCCTACAGGCCGGGGAGGTCGAGGGGGTCGTGGCGATTCCCGAGGGGGACGTGGTGGGAGAAGTTTTCGCGGGGGCGACCGCGGTGGCTTCCGTGGCGGTCGCGGGGGTGGTTTCCGCGGCGGTAGAGGCGGTGATCGAGGCAACTTCCGAGGTGGTTTCCGAGGCGGGGATCGTGGAAGCTTTCGTGGCGGACGTGGTGGGGAACGCGGAGGATACGGTAAACGGGACTTTAATTCCGACCACGCGGACAGTCCGTCGGGCAAGAAGATCAAGTTTGACAGCTAAATTGATAACTCAATCCTGTATAGCCTTTTGCGTGTATATTTCCAAAACCTACTTAAAATGCATTTTGTACTCCCCTGCCCCTTATACTTTGTTTCGAATCTCTTTACTAATTCTTGTAAAGACCTACTACCTTCGAACAGGATGGTGGGGTTTGAACTTCTGTCCAGGTGAAACTATTGAACGACAGTGGTTACGGCCCAGCGCGCCTTTTGGGTTTATTTATTTACCATGAAAATTGAGAAACCATTTTTGTGTTTACAATTTTGCAAATACTACAAATGGACACCTTGGTCGGGGAATGTGAGCTCGTACGGCCCTATTGAATCTATACTTTTCTGTCCCCATTCATATATTAATTTAGTAAGCATTCATGGCTCTTCCTTGTCCCATACAAGTCGTTTCTGGCACTGCCAAAACTACATTAAATAGCCACATGACTTTGGGACATGGGACTAATATGTTTCGACCACAGCTGGAATTTATTTCCTCGCTGGTATGTGTTCCTTACAAGCGACAAAAATTTAACGAGTCCCGCCAGCCCTAGCTGGAAGTTGGGGTCCATGTAGTGCTCAAGGCAAAGTGGCAAGCTAATTATTAGTTGGAATTCGTTGTCCTGGCAGACTGGCGTGCCCACTGGCGTGTCATCTTATCGCAAACTGCCAAACGGAGGGGATGGGAAAAAGTCTCTGCCAAAAGCTGTCAAACTTACGCATGGCCGGCCATTTGGCCCTGTCGCTCCGCAGGGTCGTGTGCTACGACAGTTTTATACGTAAGAGGCTGATTTTTGGATGCCGTGCTCCCGCGTCCGCTCCCTACCATCTGGAGTACCAATGAAGTGGTTGCAGGGCCTGTCTGGTTATACTGTCGTGACCTTATGTGCAAACAAGCTCTTAAGGTCAAGGCCATGGCGCGTCCACCTCGGATGCCCACAAATTACGACGAGCATAACGACTTATCCCGGGATATGGCCAATGAATCCCTTACAAGGATTCATTAAAGAGTCAGTCTTAACTTTTAGCGTCCACACAGAAGAGTATTTTCGGTTTAACGTGGCGCGCACAACACTCAGTGATGTGTAATCAGTGAACTAGCATTGGCTACTTCAGATTTGAATAACTGGTGTCCCCGCTGCCCGGGCACCTGTCTGCTAGAGTAAGGGGCAATCGTGCGGAAATTGGTAGCCCCCTATCTTGTCATTTACGGAAAATTCGCCTGACTCACATTGCCAGCATCCAAAGCGAGAGTCTAAGCGCGCAGTTCTCTTCAGTTGGGGAGACTAGGCTTCACTGTGCAAAAGCCTAATTTGTAAGCCGGGCAACTTGATAGTAGGGAACGGCATATTACCGCCTCCAGCACACCATATCCGGGTTGTGTACTGTAAGAAACGAAGGGGTGGGCGCCTAATCTCAGGAAGGAATGAATTCAAGCCGGGGTTGCGGTCTCACGGGGAAATGCAGCACGTAAGTAGTCATTGTGATACTGACTGGGAAATTTCCTGCGGCGTGCACGTCTCTGGTCATCAGCAACAATTCTGTAGGCTATCCTTCCCGAGATCGACATCACTTCCATAACTGTCAATTGTCTTTGCGAAGGTTGTCTGAAGAGAAAACCACCAGGAGAAATCAGCCAAACCAATACCAAAGCCGACGAGAGGGGACCATACGGAAACAGCCGCGTATTTTCCGTGGTGCCACTCTCTGATACTTCGCCCCCGAACAGAGCTTTTGAGTCAAGTATTACAGGAACTGAAATTTTATTAAGATTTGGAGCGGAATGGCTGTTGTGGATGGTTCAGGCACGGGTGGAATCCGATGTGGGGATGGTGGCGTTTCCATTTATGCAAGGACTCTACAGTTCTGGGTTCCGCATCCAACAGGCTGGTTGATAAAAGACAGGAAGTAAACATGTAGACCGTAGTAACGCGTGGAAGAAAGCACCAAGTCAACATGGCGACAGCTTCGCTCGGGAGTCTTTCGTCGACTGACTGCATCGGAAGGCGATCATGAGTGATGCAGTGGGACTGCAGCATGGGGACAGCTGGATTGTCTCATGGACAAAGCGGTGCCCAGTCACGAAAATCCTACGTGGCAACGGCCATGTGGTTCATGGTGGACGGAGTACCTGGTGGGACAGCTTACGATCGACATCGCTGAGTCGTGTGCCACAATCTACTTCCCAAATTAGTCCTCGTTTTTTTCATGTTCGACCAGGAACGCAACATTTCAAACCTCGGCCGAGAAGGTCCAGCACTATCTCGAGGGCGCAAGCATCATCTGATCTTGGCATTTACTGTAGGGAATTGGACTTGCGCTACACCTGCCAACCTCATTCCTACACTCCCCGTGCTCCAAGGGTGAGATAGAATCAATACGGGTGGGGCATAGTGGCTGGCAAGGCCAAACAGCTCGTCCGCGCCTACCACACATGACTTGTTTTCAAAACCCTCCACGAGCGAAGTTCCGAAGGGGGATGAAAGTGAGAGCGCCACAGGTGTCGTAAGAGGGTGCGACGCCGTAGTTTGACCTTCCGTCCTGAGAAGGACCGAGTAATCATAACCAAGCCCCGAATAGTAGCGCGCCATGATGGCTTAAGAGCGCGTTTTGAGGGAAGTTGGCGTTGGATGAGCGTCGGTCTCACCCCTCTCATGGGCCAGTGGCCTGTCCGAAACAATGGGCACAGAAGTGTCATACTGCACAGAATGGTAGGACACAATCTACCAGACTGCGCTGCCAGAAGACCCGTTCATAGTTTCTTAGAAGCAAGTAAAGGGGTTTATGGAAAGGTCTATTTATATGTACAACATTCCACTTTCTGAAAGAAGACATCAGGGGACAGGGTCGTAGGTCACGAATTCTTCTTGGTACTCAATCGTGCGCGTGTGTCCATCAGCTGTTTGGACGGTTCGAGGCAACGGACAGGAGTTTTCGCACGTGAAAACGTAGACAGTGGCAAAGTCGGGGGAGGGTTCATTGATGCAGTCCAGTTTTAGATAAGACAGGATTTGGGGTGTGATCTAAACGACCAAAACAAGCAATACACACATACATGGTATCCACGGATAGGCGAAAAGTTCAATGATGTTAGAGCAATAGTTCAATTTATTTGAGTCCTTATCAATCAAGGCCAAACAAGTACTGCTTCTGGGAACCTAAGTTCGCAACACAATAAATGGAAATGACTGTCGGGCGCGCCCAGGGGAAGACCAGCGCGACAATGGGTCCGCAGCTGTCGGAAAATGCAGTTCTGATGGAAGCGAACCTCACAAGGAGTGGCATTATTCGCAAGAGAACTACATGTATCCTTTTGCACCCCCCCGAATTTCGCGCGCGAGTGTCGACCACCGGCGAATGAGCGGCCGTTTTGGGTCCAATATCCACTTGGAAACCTGTAAGTACACCTAGGAAACCCAGACTGTCCTTTTCTTCTGATATAGACATCACAGACCCGCCAGAGACACCGAAGATGTCTCAGTCACAGAGGGCTCGACTTGGGAGATAATGGGGCTGATAAGATGTACATTCTCAGAGGACTAACCTGGAACTCGAAGATTCGTTTTCCGCCACAGGCACTACAGCATGGAATGGTGTGTGGTGTTGTAGAGACCCAGAAGGGTTCACCGCCTCGCTGGAAACGGAGAACCTGGAAAAAAATAAGGGAATACAGCCTGTAAGAGAGTCCACAAAACGACGGGGGTGGTGCTTTTGCTGCGTCAGGAGGTGGAGGCATGCAGGGCTCAGGAACGAATTCACGCCTACGAAGCTTCTAGTAACAGACGAGTGAACTCTCTAGGCTGCAAATGAGGGGCACCTTTCAAGTATGCGTAAGCCGAAGTCGAATGTCGACCTCACCCTGAAGAAGTACGGGAATACAATGGCGTCACAACTCTGCCGAGGTAACTCCGTTTCCCTGTTCGTTTTACCATAGTTCTCGGAGCCGTTGGTCTTCATTGAATATAGAGGTGAAATTATCTACGAACCACGTAAGATCAGGTAATAACAAGACCGACCCATACACGCCAAATCTGTTCTCTTGTGTCGTAAATGATCGAAAAAGAATACAATAACCCGACAAAAATAAACAGGAGTGCAGACGGAACTATAAATGAATACGTGTGTAGGGAAATTACAGACTGGTTTTCGAATATGGAAAGGAAACAAGGGCATACCTGGTCGGGTTCTGCCTTCATAACTTGGCGAAATTTGGCGAAAATTAGCTCCTCTTTTGTCTCCTTGCGTGATATTTCTTCGAGGGCAGCGAACTCGGCCGATTCGACACTAACATGGAAGAAAGGTAATAGGTTCAATGGAATAAAGTTGATGGTCACATCACAACAGCCTGACTGGTCAACATACAACGGCAGTTCGACTATCGATTCCGACGATGTCCCTCCTGTGACCCACAGCACGATGGACGGAGAGACGGTGACTTGTGTGTGAATCAGTTTATAGTGATAGTGGACTTGCGCAGCATCTACTGCGCCCCCTCATGTCATGACAGAGTCAGGAAGACCGGAGGCGAGAGGGGGCGCAGGTGGTTGGCGAGGCGAGAGCCTGCACTTCGGCGTGCCATCACCCCTCATGGTTGCGCAGCCCCATTACGCGTGCCGGACTCCGAGATGGCCTCCACATTGGTCACACATGCACGCACACACCAGCGACAGAGCTCTGGGATGAGTTTTTCACTCCACAGGAGTGGACAAAATGGCATTTCTAACGCAAAACAACCGTGAACTTCTGTCAACTATGGGCCTGGTTTTGACCATCGAGGAATATAACGAGACAGCAAAAAACTGACGCCAACTCGGAAACATACCTAGTCAAGGTCTGCGCCGGGGTCTCAGTGTCTGAATAATCGTCATCCGACTGCGTGTACGTGCTTGCTATATCGGATTCATTGGCAGCCTCGGAGGCAAGCGCGAATTCTGGCAGCAGAAATGAATTTGCGGAGAACATTTCATCCAAATACTGATAGTTCGGACACAAACGTTTGTGGCAGAGTTTCCAGTGAAGTAACTTGTGAAAGAAAAAGACGGAACAGGAGTCACTACAGAGGAAACCTTGGGGAACCTATTCTGTCCCGTGCTGAAAATGACTTCTGGCAGTAGCTCTTTGAGTAGAACTTAAACGATAAGGACACCGATAATGATATCGCCATCAGAAGCAGGCACATTAGGTGCATGAGGATAATGCCCGGGGGAGACGGGTCTGCCAGTAAGCGGATGCTCGGATCTAGCGAATAATCTATCATGGATCTGGGCAGGGAGGGCTGGGGCTCGGCACGTAGATAGCTAAAAATTTTACAGCAAAGCCCGATGACGACACTGTGACACGGCAGCCGAGAACTACTACTAAATTGGCTCTCTTGTTGCCAATGGTCTCCAAAGATTTAAAACACCAGGGGGATAATCTCAAAAAAACAATTTGGACGGCTGTTAGGGATCCATGCCTGAAAATCCAAAAAATCTCATAAAATTGAGGTCGGCTGGATTAAAAATGACCGGTGCCGTACCAAAACCAGAAAAGAGGGCACTGCAAGACACTACTACCATCGTGGGCGCCGACAGAGGGAGATTTTGTTAATTAGAAATTATCCGCGATTTAACTAAAGACCCTTGCGGGACACAAGCCCACAAGGACTGGGGATATGCATTGACCTCACAAACCACATGATGTACTGGCAAATTCAATGAAATCGGAGTAGTGCACACCTGTGCGATGGGGAAATGACTTCAGTAGGGAATCACTGTGGACAGGGAGATCTCAAAAAATTAGACACCGTCATCTGCTTAACAGGCAATGGCTCCGTGGCCTATTATCTAAGTGATTAGACTTCTATGCTTTAGCCATTTAATTCGAATGCCAGAAGAAGAATAAAGAATATGAGTTTGTTAAGTCAAGCTACCGACGGCGTGGATGTATGTGAATGTTAAAAACAAACTACATTATGGGGTTTGCAAAAAACGTCCAAGGACTTCGGTGGAAAAGTGGAGAATAAGACTACAGCAGATATAAAGGAAGGCGGACCAGGCACTTAAAAGCTCTCTATAACATTCGAACGATGAAGGCGAAGTCCATTTTCCAAAATAACCCAAATCACCTAACTGCCCACAAGTGAATACCGACAAGTGTGATTTTAAAGCATGTTTGGATAAGAGTAAATTTTAAAAGGATGAAGAATAGCGGTCAAAATTCGCAAATCTTCGTTCGCAGTCTGGAAATATACTTTTAAGTAAGCAATTGTGCATAGCATTAGTTACCCGGACAAATGAATATAAGTCAGTCCAAATGAAATCGAACTGTTCACTACTTACTTATCTATAAAAAAGGTGCGTGAAGCCACGCTGGTGAACAAGAGAGACTAGACAATGAAAACTATCTTAAGAATAAGAGGGCTGACGAAAGCGAATGCCAGAATCCAACGATATGCCACCTTTTCATCCTGGATTCCTATCATAATTTGCCCGGACTCACACTACCAGTCTCTAGATCGGTGCCTCGCGATACGCTGGTAATCAACGGGGGTAGTGATAAGACCGGCTTCTGATAAAGTACACTTCAAAAGAGGAAAAACTGAAACTAAACTAAAAGCTCTAAAAACATACTTGATGATACTTTGAGCAGTACGAAGCCTTTTTGCAATTGGCGCAGCTTTTTGAGCCCCGACATCCACAGATATGACATAAAGGGATTAAACGATTTGGAGGTGGCAGAGTACCGGATCGAAAGGCCTGCAACATCTCCTCCTCTGTTAACTGCTTCTCATCGGGTGGAATTGGACTAATCAATAGGGAATAAAGTAAGTAAGTGAAGCCTGACAAACCTATAGTAAGGATTGGACTTGGCCAGTTGAGATCGAAACACACGAAAGGGCACTGACGATGGTGCAGACGATTCTGAGGATGAAGTAGAGTTGACGAAACAACGGCCCGATTTGCACATAAATAAAAAAAGCATCCGATGGAAACAGTCTTCCCTATCCTCGCCTAGAGGTGAATACAGCTGCAGGGAATGTGCGAGATAAATGGTTACCTGAAGTAGAAAGGCCATCGGTTGGCCACAGGAAGAGCAGACGAGCTCAGCCTCTTCGGGCAAGTGATCCAAGGCAAGCCAAGCGGGGCGGCCGCCTATTTTGTCAGGAAAAAGGTGCGAGACAAGTGTGCACGCTGGAGCGGGTTCTGCGAATCCGTAATGAAGCTGAGCCATGGAGAAATGGTCTGAAACGATAGGAATGCCAGAAGACAGGAGTGCGCCACAGGAATCAGGCAAAGACATGGTGAGGCAACAAATAAACAACCAATAGTTGCGAGGAGGCAATCGACGATATCGCGGAAAATTATTTAGAGCCATGCGAAGACAGAAGCCTCACGAAGACAATGCCCGTCTGTTGGTAACCTGTCGCTTCAACGGGGGGTGGGTAGTGGGCAGCTAGATGAGAAATAAGCAGGTTTTTGGGTTTGCTGAATGAACAATGGTCGGCTAACAGCAGCGGTGCCAGAAGGGTGGGGAGTAAGACCCGCCAAACGATTGTCAGGCTAATTACGAATGAGTCCGATAACTGTTACGTGATATGGCCAGCTTGGATCGTCACCAAATAAGTTCGTTTCGCCTCTGTAGTCTTGAGGGCTGGGCATCTATCAAAAGGACAGGTTGACAACTAGCGAACGCGACTTCTGTCGAAAACCCAAGACTCAATAGTGCACCATAACTATACATGGCCGGTCAAGCACAGGAATAACTTATAAATTATTCTGGGCCTTTGAATTCTACAGACGTCTATCGTCACAGATGTCAGCAGCAACAAAGGAAGCGACATTTTTCATCTGGCTGACTCTAACAGGCAACAGTCGCCTCTTCCACAAAAACAAACGGTTCGGTCTACAAAAAATTATCTAAGGTGCAGTCTGATGGGGGGAGCATTTTTTCAGGTTTCTGGGTCTGGCAAACTCGAAATCCCTAGTCGAGCCTTCGGTATCTGAAAATGATTGCGATTGAAACTCACAACTTAAGGAGAAGATCTTTGGAGCAGCAACGAAACTGAAGAACAACGAAGCACTCGGACGCCATCTGTCAGCGTAAAGCTACAAATTTTCAACAGCAAAAACTAGTCAGTTGCTTTAGGTTCAGACCCAAATTTGGGAAGCAAAAATCGCGTTGGCAGACTGGACTGACACTCGTGCTGATCTTTGAGAAAAGTGATAAGTTGTTGTACATGAACCACGGTGTTACAGGCCTCCTTGATATATCGCAAAAGTTTCAGCGCGCACTTCAAGACTTTATCAAAGAAAGACTCGTTGCAGTTGTCTGCCTGAGGCGGGGATGGCTCTATCGGTACCTTTGGTCTTACTCAATTCTCGATATTGTCACCTTTACCGTTTGTCTATCCTGATTCCAAACGGCCGATCACACTGTAAGATGGAATTCCATCGAAGCCCCTCCGATTGATTCAAGTTTACCGCCACACCGTGATGGAAAAATGTCGTGTCACAGATAGGCATGGGAAAAACCAGAAGAATATAACCGTTTCGTGTCTTACGATGACAGATATCTGTCCGGTCCGCTTTTGGGTTAGTGAACGCCACTGTGCTACTTTAGATCGAGATTTCTGCCAACCGCGGAAGACCGAGATAATATTGACTAATAAATGAAACAGGCATGCACGGTTTCCGTTTGATTTGGTCGAATCGACGTAAAATCAATTATACGTTCAGAGTGAAAATAAACGCAGCTCCTGTGGAGAAAAGGCTTCTATGTGGATATGAAAGATGATCCATGTGATCAGAAGATCTACACCGCCTAGGAGAATTCGATCGATGCTATCTGCGCCCCATTCCACCAATTTCTATATTTGAACAAACGGCTACGTAGTCAGCCAGGAACTCAGTCCGTTAACACAGCCTTCCGCACTCGCCGACCGAGATGATTCAGTCCGGAGTAGCACTGACTTGGAGATAAAATTATTCGTGATATCGTTCCACCGAGCAGTCTTGGGCCGGTGATGAGGACGTGGTTAACTGAAGCTGCTGGTGGACTTGGTGGGATTCGAATTCGTGCCTACCTCTGACGTTGGAGTCTTTGGGGCTGGCGTAGACAACACGCTCTGTTTTGCTCGACGGTCTTCAGTTGATGAACTGGGAAAGCGGATGGTTGTGTAATGCAGTGGGACTGCAGTCGAAAGTATTTGAATACGTCGTGAAGACGGTCGTCACAAGTTGCAGTAAGATTGTGAGGAAGGCGATTAAACGTAAGACGGGTCGTATAATGACCCATTTCGGTCACTACATAACATAAGTGGGTCAGACAAATATTTGCCAAAACTTGGCAGTTAGGCTCTGTGGTAATGAAGGTATGCGGAAGACCACTAACTACTGGAACTGCGACCGTTTAAAGCCAAAAAGTGGTCGACTGTACCGACAACACGTGAATTAAGGAATGAAAGACACAAAAGTGACCACGAATGCTACAGGGTTATGCTAAAGAGACAGACGCTTGCAACCTGCGCAGATGCATAAGTAAGGCAAGCCTCACACCACACCAATGGTGAAAGAAGCGAGAAAAGAGGAGACTTAAATACGATAAAAATTATGGTAGCGGAAAGACAAACAAACAATAATTGAGTGTCTCAATTAACACATTAACTAGGTTACTGCTGTACAAAATAAGGAGAATTAGGCGGAAAACTTTAAAAGAGCCAACGGACTGACGAGAAGCGGAAGACAGCCGGTGAACCTAACATATCCTTTTAAGGCTTATACCCGAGTTCTCAAACTGTGCATTTTGCCAACTATCCTTTTTTGCAACTGAACTTCCCCGCTAACAGGCAGTCTAATCAGCCTAACCAACTGAATATTAGAGTAGCTACTCAGCCCACTCAACTTGGCTTATCAGATTAAGTTGTTGTTCCATCTTATAATTATGATTTTTCCTGTAAAAAGTGTTGTTATATTGGTGTATAACGTGTGACGTGTGTGGTGGCGCTTCCTACATCCTTACCAGAGTTCCTGTGGGTCGTCAGATGCGGCCTAATCAATTCTCCGCCCACATTCCAGTTCAGTAAAAATATTAAAAACCTGAGGTGATGCGACCTTTTCTGTTCCTTAGATAAACCTGATTAATTTGAACTAAAATAAAGTTTTCAGACCGGGTCTAGTATCGGTGTCTCGTTCATGATGCATGATTCCCAAAAACTAAAGCTTTAACGGGTCAACCTCACCCCTCAGTTACATCAGCTAGATATGTGTACAGTGTGTCCTTCCTCCCGCTCTGATTTAAGCAAATCGTGGAAACTGGTTAATAAAAATAACATTTGTGATACAAATGAATTCAACCAGCCTAGCTGTACTTGCAACCTCCGATGACATCAAACAAACATGCGTAAATACTTATAACGAACAGGTCTTTTCATCAAGATTGTCCTGAAACACCGGAATGAACTACCGAAAATATGTTTCGGAGTTAGCCAGACAGCCACTTTTAACACGATTTGTTTTACATCAATTGTCAAAAATCGGTAAGATATAAACAAACATGAGACGTCTCGGACCGAATCCGGTGAAAGTAAGCCTAAGGCAGATGTAAAGGAGAGACGAGAAGATTAACCAGAACGGTGGTACTTGAACAAGCGTACGTGGCAAAATGGAAGATGTCACTCGGCAAATTATAACTTATTCGAATTTGCGTCTGAGATGCAGCCAGCCGCGGAATGTATATAGCATCGCCCCACTTAAGGGTTGATGCCAGAGTTACGCTAGTTAAACATTGGGGTAAGACCAGTGTCCGACATGCGTTTTTGAGCCTCTCACACATAAAAATGACATAAATGGGCGTTTGTTAAGATGCCTCGGCGCAGGCTGGTGCTGCTTCAGCGTACTACATCCGATTCTGTACCCGGTCCTCTTGACTCTCTTTTGACATCCGGTTCATATGGGTGAACGATGACAGTGTTTAGATCAATCATCATCGATCATGAATGCATCTACGCGAATCCCGCTGTGGGGTATATCGTGAGCAACGGCGGCAACGACGACTGAACTGCCTTGTTGTTAAATTTATGATTGCGTATGACTAAAGTCTCGTTCGCAAAGTCAGTGGAATGAGGACTTCATGTCCGTCTTTACATATACCATCATTCGACATATTTTGACGCTACCTGGAGATATAATTCATCGTCAACACAAGGATCACGTGTAAAAGCAAAATTTTAAAGCAACATAGGTTTCACGAAGTATCCTATGAACCCCATTTGCAGTTGGCACAGAATTAGGGTATTTTGAGAACAACCAAAGGGAGTGAGGTAGTCTTCAGGAATTTATTTCCAAAGTCGAAAACTTCCTTTACTTAAGTCAATTGGAGCTTTCACAAAAGGCTTCGGCCGCTGCCACATGTTAAAATGCATTACTTTTTGACCCATTACTGTGCGTGTTTAAATAACGTTTGTTTTGGAAATTTTAATGATGTACCCAAATCTCCGCACAGAACTGTTGATGCTCAAGCTGGATTTTAAAATAATTGACATCACGCTACGGCAAAAATATGGCATGCCGCCATAGTGACAGCGCGGTAAACGAGGCCATTTGTAAGACAGGAACGGTGATAATAGGGGCTTTATGAGTGGGGCATATACGGAAGAGCACTGGAGGCCAAAAACCATTAAGAATTCAAAGATTGAGCGGGCTGTGTGAAATTTCCAAAACAGTTTAGCATATCGTAATTTGCCCTCTGACATTCTCTCACCCTGGAAATCGGATCATTATAGCTATTATATAAACCGTTTTCGCATCAGACGCCTAAAACCGGCGCACAGCTTTAGTACCTTTTTTAACATAACAGCGTATGCGTTAGAGAATAGTAGTCAAACCAAATTTTTTGGGGACGAGGACTTAACCTGCGAAAGTCCAGAAAGCCATTCTTCTTGAAATTCTAGCCGTTTTGACGTTTTGGGTCTGCAAAAATATATGAATGTAGTCCACTTTAATGAACGTTGCCGTAATTCTTTCAATCTTTTTGTGAACCACATAAAAAACATGTGAGTACATTTTACGTTTTCATAGTGTAACACCCCTTGACTTGGACAGAGTTGTTTGAATGAGGTGACACTTTTTGCGCGAGGACCTAGAGTGGAGATGGCGTAGTCGCGTGTCGGTGAAGATAACCGGTGTCCCTCCCTCTCTCTTCTGCCGATCCCTTTCCCCCTCGTCGTACCGTAACGCAACGTATCGTCCGAATCGCTCGCCTCCTCGCTACATCGGCACTCCCTCGACCCTTCCCTGCAGTTGCCCCCAGCGCTGCGCTCCCCACCGGTTTACTAGCTGGCATGTTGACATCGTCTCTCCACCCAGACAGGTCATTCTACAGATGTAACCATCCTACCTGTACTATTAACGATTATTATACGTTTCCCCGGGCAATCCCGTCATATTACACTTTATCTCTTATTCGACATGCCTTCTTCTTCTTCTTCTTCTTCTTCTTCTTCTTCTTCTTCTTCTTCTTCTTCTTCTTCTTCTATGTATGGATGTGTATCAAGGAATGCTAACAGCTCCGTTTAGGTCTACCCCGGCCAAGAGTCCTTCTCGGCGTTCCCTTACTCCGGTGTGTGCTACCCTTGACGTCCTCGGCCGCTACAATAGTAGCCGTTTGCTGAAGAATGCACCTACCTTTGAAATTGATGTCTTGGACGAGTTTCTTAATGGCATTATCCGGGTCGTTCAGTGACTGGAAGTATCGCCCAAGCATAATTTCGCAAAACTTAAACTCAAGAAGAGCTGTAGAGGCCACTGCGATGCGCGTGAAAATGTTCGACTAATTGCCTGATAGCCGGCGGAAACAGTTTGCAAATTGCTAAATTAATCCCTCGCATGGAAGGCGGTCAACAGCAACACGTAATCGCAGAGTCTGACAAAAGTCGTGCTTTCACCACAAAAAGGCAAGCGCTTAATCAGTTTGATGGAGAAGTTAATTTTTATTCTTTAACTATGTGTGAACTCAAGTAAATTAGAAATAGGACAGGGTATACGGCGAAAAATTATTTTTTATCCTGAAAACTGCATTGAACATTAAATAAACTTTTAAAGAAAAAATTAGGACAGAAACGCTGAAGTGAGGCCATGAGAACGGCAACACAATTTAAAGAATGGGTGTAGGCAGGAAGTAACAATGAATGGCTTGTTAGTATCCCCTAGGAATGGACTGAAAATCAAATAAAGAAGGGTGAAACGCAAATACAGAACGTGAAGATTGGTAGTTCATTCTCAAAAACATACACCGGAATAAAATAAAATGAGATTAGGTAGGAATTTTAAACAAAAACGCTAATACATATGCCAAAATTGTAACAGAAATGAAAGAGAAGTAAAAAGTGAGTATTTCGGGCAGAAACGTTAATATTTGCTTCTCGATAGATAAATGACAATATTTAATTAATAAATACTGGAAACGAATGCGGGACGGAAACGCTGATTTCAGCCCCCAAAATGTATCAGAATTCAATACGCGGGAATAGGTAGGTATTTTGAGTATAAACATAAACTTTTTTCGTGGAAACACATCAGAAATTAAATAAAGCAGCACTGTGTAAGGAATTGGGACGGAAGCGTTAATTTTTATCCCAGCGCATATCACTTACCTCAAATTAATCAACATAACCTACGGATTTAGCACGGACTAGTTTATTTTCACCACCGAATGTACATCAAAAACTGAATAAATTAGAAGTACCTTGTGAGCGGTGTGTTCGTCTCTCTGAATTGGAACGGGGAGAGGGGAGGGGTAAAGTGCACCGCAACTCTTTGACTGTTAAAAAGCATAATAAACAAATAATTTAGAATTAGCTTGGGAAAGGAGTGATTGTGCGTCTGAGTGAAAGCGACGCATGCAGAAATTGGCAAGTTCGAGGCTGATTCTTATCCATTGCAACGAAATTCCAATGTAACGGGCAACGACTGACCGACCCTGTCTATCGACTGAAGCATACCACTGAGAATGGCTGGCAAGTAATATCACAATGTTAGTAAGTGAAAGCAGAGAAGTTGCCGAATCCAGACAAGCAACACTCGTAAAAACATGGCTACTTCAGCGCCAACAGTAAACAAGCGGCAGGGCATTAAATAAAGACGTGAGCATGCTGGTATGCTACGGTGCTACTACCTCTGTTGCATACTTGGGTTAAAACTTACTAGTGTATTAAAGACTTATTGATGCATATATGTATCAGCCAGCGCAGCTAACATTTAGAGTCATTGACAGACCCACTGAGCGTGTCTGATTCTCCCTTTTTGGAATTTTTTATGTCTACGCTGGATGTAAAAATTAGGGGATTGAGAGTCGCACACCCAGATATCTCCCAAGTAAACCAAACTGAACTAAACGCTATACAAACCTTTTGTGGATCCTATTAATGGCACTTAGTCTGGCGTCTTTAATTGCGTACAATCATTTACTCTTTGGGAAGAGTTTAGAAATAGTAGAAGTTTTATCATCAAGCACTCAGAGGGTAATGTGAATGTAACAACAATTTTTCTGAAAAATTCCTAGTACCTCAAATCTAAGTCACATAGTTGACATATAAAAATGAGGATTCGACCTACAGTCTCCTAACTCTTAGTTCGAACGCGAACGGCATCTTGAAATGGACTTAATACTGGCCACGTTCATATCAGAAGATTAACCTAATTAGAAGGAAGCGTAACACGTTGGTGGGCGACAGTGAAGTTCCAAAGGAGCTCTTTTAACACCTTTTTAGTAGCTTGTGAATTATATGGTTAAATGCAAGCCTCACGGACTGCATTTAACGTCACCTGCAGCATCCGGTCTCATATTAAAATGAGTTGGCTCGGAATTAATACAGGTACATTACCGAAGGGGAAACAGAGAAAGTGAGACTGACACAAAATGTACTCTAATCATTCCGATCGTCCAGTTGATTGCCAATGAGCCTTTGAATGACCTTGAAGCACTAAAAGTCATGGACTGGAAGGTTGCCTGCCGGAGGGCTGCTTCGGTCTTCCTGAAGACTTTGAATGAAGGTTCGATGGCTCCTTCTCAAGGTAACCCTCATATCAACTCCCATCTGCGAGAGACTTGGAACTTCAGTTTAAGTCTGCCTCGCGGACATGTTGAGACAGGCGTGCGTATGCGGCACGTGGATTTCAGGTTTCCCGGGCCAGCCAGTGGGCCTGCGTCCGCTGTCATTGGCCACTAATATTCCGATGGACACTACTACTACTACTACTACTACTACTACTACTACTACTACTACTACTACTACTACCACTACTACTACTACTACTACTACTACCACCACCACTACTACTACTACTAATACTACTACTACTACTACTACTTCTACTACTACTACTACTACTACTACTACTACTACTACTACTACTACTGCTACCGTTACCTCTACTAATACGACGTTCCCTGAGTACAGAGGCTAGTAGATCTCCGTGTCGCAATATACACTTCAGGGATGTTTAGATACTTTTCCAAACGCTTATGACGCCTAAATTATCTGGTAGTCAGGAATTACATTTGTTACCAAAAACTGCAGAAATACACAGCTCATTCAGTTACGAAACGGATTTTCCGAGGCAAACCTATCATCGGCAGAGTTCGCATCGAAATCCACGGTAAATCAGTCAGTCGAGGCAGGCTTCACGAGCTGAGTGAGTTCTATATCGCCACAGCTGGAATAGTAAATAATTGTTAGTAATCTGGCTATATCAAATGGTTGGTAAATTATCCAGATACAGCTGTCCATCTGCTGCATGCATGGGTTGTAGCACTAAAATCCTAAAATGGTAACTATCCGGCTGGAACAAGGGATTAAATCGGGAGTCAACAATCATCACACCCGGTAGGTCTGACCTTTACTGGCAAAGGATTATTGGATGTCCACAATCCAGATTATTTCGTATTAAATGCGCTAGACATGCTTTAATTTAAAGCATTAATAAAAACCCAATTTATGGAATTCTCCTGCAGCAGAACACATTTTTACTTTCTCGCAAACTGTTATTTCTTTTCATAGCTGGCATCTTCAAAGAAGTTAACATTCCATTTTCACCAAAGGCAATGTTATCTGCTAAATACAGTCAAACAGTAGAAGTTGGCACCAACGACAAGACGTAAGTCCAACGTCAAGAATGACTAAAAGATGCGCAAAGCAACTTCGTAATGGAATTCAACGCAAAAGGGACGGCTGTAAGATGGGAACCGAGTCTACTGAATTCGGAAGCAACAAGGCGGAAGGGGAGGATGTGAAGACATTGTGCTGGAAAAAGTGCGTAAAACAATGAAACGAAGGAAATGTTAAAGGACGGAGAAGAGGGAAAGAAGCACAGAACATAGACAACTCCACATTAAGTAGGCTTATCACTGGAGTAGAAAAATAGTGTAAAACGTAGAAGTTGACAAAGAGATGAGAAGACGGAAAGCGACATGGACGTTGTGCTCAGGGGTCCATAGGGCACTTCATGCCATGACAGAGATTAAATCAGCTGAAAAATCCAGTCGAGAGTCAATTTCATAAGAAGACTTGTTTGATGACGCAAACCAGGGTTTCTTAATCAAACGTTATTAGTCATTTAAAATACGGTTAAGATATCTTACGTCTGAATTTCGGTGTCCTTCTTGACTTTGAACTAATTTCCGAGAATAAAACCTTGCACGATCCACCCAATGTCGGTCAGAGAGTTATTTTAAGACGTCAGAAGCTGTCGTTCTAGTCCCCTGTAAAAGGCTGAATAGTACAACCAGAACGGTGTACCTAATTATTCTCTGCCACATATGACGGGCAGACTTAGCATCTAGTATTACTGATCGGCGTTGGTTAGGTGATGAAGTAGCTTACAGTTCGATATTCCAATCAACATGTTACACGGTTGAGTCCTAGTAATGAGACGTACTTTTCTGCTTGATTAGTCATTTTAGGGCCTACTACTTACTCGGCAGTACGACAATTTGTCACCAAATTGATACTGTAGTTGTGAAAGTCCTTTTCTGGAGAATGAAAATCTCTGTCATATTTTCGGCTACCGAATAGGTGGTACTGAAAAGTGACCCACCTGTTTTTTCCAAACAAACGACCATAGGGTTTAATATTATGGTTTCTGTCGTTGTCAAAAGACTAGCTCCGACTTGCACTCTATTCCCCACCGCGTAGCACATACTGTATCAGCATTCTCCTACTCTCTAATCAGCCGAAGGGCTGGATGAGGAATTATCCCCGCCTTCTTTCCTCAGTCATCACCTGACATGACTCCTCCCATCCACATTAGCCCTCATTGCCTTATTAGATTGATATCAGATGACTCCGATTATCCTCCCACATTCCTCACCTCCACCCTATGGGAAGAGCTGAGCATTACTCGATTACCCTCCAAAGATCCTGATCTAATGGGGGTTCGTCGAAAGCAGGCGTATGTATACAAAATAATATCTTGAAAGCGGTAACTATCATTCAAGTTCTCCTCGCGTTGTTGGAAATAGTGTTAGCCCAAATGGTGTATTCAACAGGCTGCTTGGGTCGGATAACGTTTTCGTTGGAGCCAAATTAGCCACAATTTAGCGCATTTTAAAGCGACTTAGGCGAGACACGGAAATAGATACCTTCCCTCCGTAGTACAGGCCACATTTCACTGAATTCCAGGAAGGGTACCTATTACCGTGTTGCAACCCAAACATTAGTCCTAGTAAAAACATTAAATCCAACCACAACCTTAGCCCTGACCCGA